ATTGTTCATATAGATAAATATCACTGGCTACTTTGGTACAAATAAAAGTCTCATGATTGACAATTCATTAAAATTAACATTTGGAATAGATCTCATACAAGTATTTATTCAAGTTCAAATGAGACTAGTAGTGATTGGTCTTAACTTTTATATTTCAGTGACAATCACATTTCCTCTTGAGGTAATATTGAGAAATTAAAAACCAATAACCAAAGCCAGAACAGGATGCTCACACAAACAAACAGGTTAGAAACAGAACAATGCAAGCAAAAGATGCACTTATATAAACAGGTATTTTATCTAGGTTTGAACTTCTAATGCTATTAAGAAGAAGTCTTGGATAATGAGTGAAATAAGCAAATAAAAGTCTCAATCACGGAACCTGAATGATTATCAACACTAAATCAATCTTTTCTTCGTTTATTTTAAGCATTTTTGGCTCTATAAATAACCCCCCCAAGGATCTGTTAGCTGTGCTAGTTCAATTTAGCAAACTATCCTTACCAATAAAAGGAGAAAACCCAAGCAAACTATGGCATTATCACAAGAAGAGTTCTCGGTGAGCTCTGAATCTGTGATGAGTATTCAAGAGCTGATGAAACATCCCAACTTCACAATCCCAAAAAGCTACATCGTTGAACCTCCTGCAGTCTCACAATGTTATCTCTCATTGCCAAGCATTGACATGAATCGATTTGCTTTTGTGGTGGAATTCCATCTCCAACTACAGGAGTTGGATTCTGTTTGCAAACAATGGGGCATCTTTCAGGTTTTTTCTCAAACACCTTTCTATCACTATAAATCTTGTTCTATTCTTCCCAAAAACATAAAACAAGAAAAGTTTTTTTTTAACAAAGAAAGCCTTTTTGGGCAGTTGGTGAACCATGGAGTAAGCTCTGAACAACTGGAGAAGATGAGATATGAACTTGAAGCATTTAATAAGCTTCCCTTGGAGGAGAAAATGAAGTACAAGATTAGGGCAGGGGACGTTTAAGGGTATGGAAACAGAGCCAGATCAGAAGGAAAACTAGATTGGGCTAGTAGGTTGTTCATGTTAACCAACCCTGTTCATAGAAGGAAGCCATATCTCTTCCCACAGCTTCCTTCATCCCTGAGGTTTGATTCTCTTTCTGGTATTGGTTTTCTTTTACATTCTGTCTTTGTTTACTGTTGCACATATATATATATATATAGATATCTATGCATGTGCAGGGAAACTTTGGAAGTTTACTCGCTGGAAATGCAAAAACTGAGCATGAGACTTCTGGGCCTCATGGCAAAAGCTCTAAAAATCGATGAAAAAGAGTTGGAGACGTTTGGAGATGGTGTTCAAGCGATTGGGATGTTGTATTATCCTCCATGTCCAAAGCCGGAGCTGGTGATTGGGATTACTCATTCAGATGCCTGCGGCATCACCATCCTCAACCAGATTAATGGAGTTGATGGTCTTCAGATAAAAAAGGATGGAATCTGGTTTCCTGTTACTTTCCTCCCAAGTGCCCTTGTTGTCAATATAGGGGACATTCTCCAGGTTCACTACATCCATGTACATATTCTTCTAGCATGCAGTCACAGTTTTCATTCATGATGCTTACACTTACAATGTGTTTTATTCAGATTTTGAGCAACGGGGTGTATCATAGCGTTGAGCACAGGGCAGCCATCAATTCAGAGAAAGAAAGGATGTCAATACGTTTTTTCATGCTGCCTAAATTTGAGGCAGAGATAGCACCTTCACCAAGTCTTTTAAATCCACAAAACCCACCATTATATAGAAGGGAAGGAATGGAGCAGTATTCTACTGGTTTTATAGCCGGCAAGCTTAACGGAAAAACAATGCTAGAGCACTTGAGGATTGAACATATGGAGAAGCCTATAGAGGATTGAACATATGGAGAAGCCTATAGAGGATTGAACATGACAGGAACTGCTACTGTAAAAATGGTCAGAAAAATAAACTTCTATGAATAATAGTCATGTATGTCATTCTCTTTTATTTAATTTACCTTACATGTTATTTTTTGACCAGAAAATAGTCATTTCTTCAACCAAACATGACTTAAAAAATTAGTGTGCAAGGAAGACTACTAGAAAAAGAAGTGAATATAACATCCGTTAAACCATTGGAAGACAGTCAGAGAATAGAACATCTGCAATGGCCAAACCATCTGTGATTATAAAAGTTGTGCATCAAAAACTGCATGTCAATGAGAACTGAGCAGTTATTCTATCGACTGTTAATCAGATTTTAGCTAACAAAAAGAAAAAATGGTTGCAACCAGTAATCATCATGTGAAATTGTCAGACTAAAACTACAAGCTGGCACTCTAATTTGTGGAGGGAAAAAAAAAAAAAAACCAACTCAAAGCCCCAAGAATCATTTGCTATGAAACTGCTACCATGTAATGTATATCTAACATCACCTCAACATATGGTAGAGATAAACCACATGCAGAGTTCATATTGTGTAGCGATTCTTGGCACCTCTGTCATGTTTCTTTGCATCCTCCTGAAGGAGCAAAAGACAACATTATATCATTTATGTAGCAAAGCCATTGTATCTATTAGATGGACAGAGATGATAATATGGAATTTATTAAAGAAGGTCCTTACATGAAATATGAACCCTATAGTATCATTGTAATCAAGGAATTCTTTCCACTGTTTCCCAATGCTTATCTGCAACAAAATTTGCAGTAAGAATTAAGCACCTTAAAGTTATCAATCAATAACACCAAGACAACAAACTTTGGAAAAGAATTTGCCTTACTCCCATATATGGTAGGCAACTTAAATAATCACCTGAGCAGTTTCATTTGCAGCGTTCTTGGTCCACAACGCTATTTTTTCCTGCTTGGCTCTAACACTAACAACCGCACCGCAAATTTCATCACCATGATCAAATTGTTCTCCAATCATAGCCAGCAACTAGTAAAATGAGTAGTAAAGATCAGGCTGCCCTTAGTATTAAGCAACATATTAATTTCACAAACACAAGTAGACATGTGCACTATGTGATTCAAAGCATACCGTGTACAGCCAACATATATCTGACTTTCCTCTAGAAAAAGTTAGGGTCCACTTGCCCCCGTTAGCACAGACAGGATCTTCCCACTTCGGCTCAATTTTATATTTGAAACAGTGAAAGTCTGCCCCCACAGCCAACTTGCTAGGGTGATGTATATTGTTGTATAGGCTGAATAAAGAAATGTTCAGAAGGAAAATCAAAACATTGCTAAAGAAGAAAACACCCACATACATAAAGAAGGCAAAACATAAATACAGGCACGGCAATTAGTGCAACAATATATGCAGCTCTTTGATGATCAGGGAAGTTATATGGTTGGCAATCCCAAACAAAAGCTAAATTTAAAAGGTTCTGATGTAAAAGTTGATGCCTTTCCTGGCTCAAACTAATATATGGAAAAATACGTCATTCTTCTAATCTACCAATCAATCTCCGCAGTTTCTTGACAACAAAAGCTAATAAATTGAAACCTAGAAATCTGAAAACGGACCAAGAAAAGAAGAGATCACCTCCAGAATTCCTCAACAGTGTCAAAAGTGTAAATCGCGCGCATGGAACTACCCCAAATGGCTTGCTTGGATTTGGCAGTAGGATTATCGAACCAGAAGGTCCAGGAGTGCTCGAGCGGGTGAGGCTGGTAGGTAACCGCTTTCACCTGGGAAGAAGAAGACGTAGCGTCACCGTCACCCCCGCCGATCTTTCCCTCCTCCAGCTCCTTATCATCGTCGTTCTCCTCCTCCTCCTCCTTGGAGTTAGGGTTAGGGTTCTTGATCTCTTCTTCAGTGCTGACTGAAGATTTAAGGTTCCCTTCTTCCAACGCCATTTCGATTCTCTGCGATTTCTGAGATTCTTCCGGGTTTCACTTCCACCGCGAAGAGCCTTAACGGCTTCCAGTTATGGAATCCTCGGCTTCTTCTCCGTTCGGTATCACTCGACAAGGGGAGGG